ATATTGACGAAGTAGAAATAAAAAAAGATTCCGTTTTAAAATTCCTTGGTATCTATCTTGACAAAAATATGACATGGAAAGCTCATATTGATTATATATCAACAAAAGTTGCGAAAAGTATTGGTATCCTCTATAAGGCGAGAAATTATCTAAATAAAAATAATTTAAAACAACTATACTACTCATTTATTCATAGCTATATAAACTATGCAAATATTGCCTGGGGAAGTACAGGTAAAAGTAAGTTGCAACGTTTTTACCGCCATCAGAAACATGCAATGCGAATAATATATTTTTTAAATCGTTTTTCAAATACAAAACCTCTATTTAAAGATATGAATGTATTAAACGTTTATGAACTTAACTTGTACAATACTTTATGTTTTACGTTTTGTTGTATGAATAACTTCTTATTTCATGTTTTTAAAGATGTATTTACCTTTAAAGTAAAGAATAAATATAGTTTGCGAAATAATAACTATTTAAAAGAACCCTTTTGTCAAACAAAGTTTAATCAATTTTGTATAGATTATCGAGCACTTTATATCTGGAATAAAATTGTACAGCCTAATTTAGATTCATCTATCTCTTTTTTTGTTTTTAAAAACAAGTTAAAGAATATTATTTTTTCTACGGATAATATATTGAAATATTTTTGAGATATTATTTTAACAATTTCTTATTTCAAATGTTTTGGATTCTTATTTTGTTATAAACTACCTGTATTATATTATATTATATTTATATAGTAATTTTTATATGGTTCTGGCGACAAGATTGATATGATCTTCAAGCAGATTCCAAGTTTATATGTTTATATTACATGGAAATCACGCCATGTAAATAATGTAAACTGAAAAAAAAAAAAAAAAAAAAAATGTCTTATGTCATTAATGTTAGTTGTTACGTTTTATAAGTCAACTGTTTATAACTAACTTATACTCTCGAGTCCTTAGTACAAGGAGGGAGGGGGGGGGGGGAGGGGGAATAAAAGGAGAGGGTGAGAATTTTAGTCTAGATCTGATAAAGGAGAGGGGGGGAGGGGTGTTTTTTTTATATTGCAATATAAGTATTTTTTTAAAAAATTTTAGTTTATAAATCGAAACTAATATTTTTTACAAAACACCATGGCCTACTTTATTTATACGGCCGGATATTTTACATTTTGAAGAAAAAAATAGAAGGCCAGTTTTCTGGAAAAGTGTTTTTAAGAAAGCAGCTTTGGAAGTTCAAAAAGATGGTTAACAAATGTTGCGTCGTAAATTGTCGTTCAAATTATCATAATTATGGTGAAGTATCTACAGTAGTATTTTCGTTTCCAAAAAATGAAGAGTTAAAAAAATATTGGATTAAATTTGTAAATAGAAAAGATTGGACACCTACTAATTCTTCCGTTATATGCATCAAACATTTTGAAAAAAATTATTATAAGAAAGGTAATAAGAATCAACGTTTTAGATTAATAAAAAATTTAAAGCCTATTCCAACTATTTTTGACTGCACAAATTTGACTGAAGAAGGTTCATTACAACTTATAAAATCTTCTAATTCATTAAGAAAATCGCCGACTAAAAGAATATTTCAGCCAGATCAATATGAACAGTTTTTATTGAATGATTTGATTAATAGCTTTAACGATATTACTGAAAGTTTTGCTCCAGATGGTTTTTCATTCTTGAAGTATGATGATCATGTAATTTTTTATAAATTGAGTCATAGTACTTTATCTATTCCAGAGGTTACAGAGTGCATTCGTGTAAACAATGAGATGCATGTTAAATTATTTTACAGAGGTTCACCTCTGCCATAACCTCAGTGGTTTTGTCAAGGAAGAGATTGTCGTTTATCTTGCAAAAGTATGCTTCATAATTTTCCTACCTACATTAAATCACAAGCCGAACAATTTTCATATGTATTGACTGAATTACAGCAAATTAAATATATGAAAAAACCTATTTATTCAGCCAATATTATAAGGTATTCACTGATATTACGATATGCTTCTATGCAGTCATACCAACTTTTGCGTGAAGAATTGCCTTTACCATCATTATCATTACTTAAAAAAATAACTAGTGGAAATATTGATGCTCTAAGTTGTGCAAAACGTTTAAAATTAGAAGGTAAGATATCTCAAGACATTTGCTTGATTTTTGATGAAATGTACTTGCAAAAATGTGAGGAGTATTTTGCTGGAGAGATGATTGGTAGTGATGAGTCTGGAGAAATGTATAAGGGAATAGTTTGTTTTATGATAGTTGGCCTGAAACAAAACATTCCATATGTGATCAAAACGTCTCCTGAAAAAGCAATCAATGCTGAATGGTTGAAAGAACAAATTTTTGAATGTCTTCGTATTTTAAATGAATGTGAATTTAATGTTAGAGTTATTGTGTGTGACAAACATTCTGCTAATGTTTCTTGTTTTAAAAAAATCCTTTGTGCATCGAATCAACAAGCTGAAGATTTGTTTTTTATTTACAATCTAAAAAAAATTTACCTCTGTTTTGATGTTGTACATCTTATTAAAAACATCAGAAATAATTTGTTAAATTGCAAAAGATTTTTATTTCCAGATTTTAACTTTAATGGATTTAAAGATCCTATAATTATATGTGGGGGAGAAATTAAATGGAGTACCTTCCACAATATTTATGAAAAAGACCTCACTCTTGATGCTGGTTTGCGTAAAGCACCAAAAATAACAATGAAAGTGTTACATCCTGGCAATTTTAAACAAAATGTTTCTTTCTGCTGATGTAGTTTCATCAAAAATTTTTGATGAAACTACATCAGCAGTGATTCACTCATATTTTCCAGATCTTAAAAGTAGTGCAGATTTTCTTACATTATTTAACAAGTGGTGGGTTTTATCAAATTCTAAATGTCAGTATTCAGCATGTAATATTTTAGGTAATGCAGTCATTTCTGGTGATAAAAAACCTGAATTTCTTCGGGAAATGGCACATTGGATTGAAGTTTGGCAATCACAAAAGATACCAAACTGTGAGAAGTTTACTTTAAGTGTTCAGACAGCTGCAGCACTAATAAGAACACTTAATAGTCATGCATCATTGATCAAGGACTTGCTTAATGATGGATATCACTTTATTTTAACTGCGAGATTTCAAAGTGACCCATTAGAAAGGAGATTTGGACAATATAGACAAATGAGCGGTGGAAGATTTTTGGTAGGTTTAAAAGATGTCACTATTTCTGAAAAAATATTAAAAATCAAAAGTATAGTTAAAGAAAGTATTAACTTCGATGATAGTTTAAAAGTGCCTGAGTCAGAAAATAATTTAACAGATTGGAAAAACTTTCTTCTTGATATTGATGAAGCTCAGTGTACTCCAGAAATCATGACACTTGCACCAGAAAGTAGGGAAGTAGGTGCTCATATTGCTGGTTATATAGCAAAGAAACTTAAAAAACGTTTTGGTACATGTTGTAAAGAATTTTTATGTTGTGTCAATATTGATGAAAGCAATCCTGATCATACTTATTTAACAATTATTTCTAGGGGTGGTCTCACTATTCCTTCACCATCACTTTTGGATTATGTTTGCACATCCTTTGCTATGATTGACTACTTTTATAAAAAAATAAAGAAATTTAGTTTACATGCACGACAAGCTTTAGAATATTTGTTAAACCACTTTTATGACTCTTTTCAGACTTTTTCTTGTCCCATGCATGAGAAAACTGGGATAAAACTTGCTGGAAAAATTGTTGTTAACATTTTTCTTAATAATAAAAGAATTATCTCTACCAGTGAAGTAGCTGTTGATCATGTAAAATCTTTTAAAAAGAGAAAATTTGAGAAAATTTAATAAATTGTATATAATTATTTTATTTTTAAATGAAAAAAGAGAAACATTTAAATATTTTTTATAACTGTTCTTGTTTCTTACATCGTTTTTACTAATACTAAATTTTAAAATAAACACTATTTCTTAATAAATTTTCGTTTAATATCTAAAATTATGAATAAATACAACTTTTGTGGACTTTTTAAATGTAGAAAGTAAAATAATATTGAAAATGTTCAAAACGTATTAAATTTTTGAAACATTACGATTTTAAAAACTGGCCTTCTATTTTTTTCTTCAAAATGTAAAATATCCGGCCGTATAAATAAAGTAGGCCATGAAAACACACATAAGAATATTTAAATTTTGAGCGGCTTGCGGTCAAATGCCCATTTTTTGACAGCTGTTTTATAATAATTTCAATAGGATTCAATAAGTTTTATACTTTGGTGAGAAATAAATTAAAAGCTCATTTTTGATAAATTGAGATTTACTTGGTGCTACTACATTGACTGAGGATTTCACATAGGACAGCAATCTTATTTCTTTTATTATTTCAATTTAATTTTCTAATGTTTAAAAACCCTCTACTAACGAGAGCGAAACAAGCGAAAAATTAAAATTATTTTAGACCGCTAAACTGTAGATGTAAAAGTCTCTTGGAAAAATAAATTTTTTATTTTTCCAAGAGACTTTTTCATCAATCAAAACCCCTAAAAATTTGGTATTCTGAGTATTAGGTAATGTTTTTTATATTTTATATTAATTGTTGGTATAATTGGGGATATCATATTTTTTTTTGATTGGAAAAATAGTATTTAGTTTTTTCTTTATTTAGTGATAATTTATTTGTCTTAACCTATAAGCTTAGTTTTTTAGTCTGTTATTTTAAAGTTTTCGATTGTTGTTAACGAGTATAACAAGTTTGTATTATCTGCAAACATTATAGTTTTAAAGCTGTTTGAATGTTGTTAATATAAATTTAAAACTTTTTTGTAAAAAAAACTTGTTTTATATTTTGATTTAAAAAAAGTAATCTCATAATAGCTCAAAACATATTTGGTTCGAATTAGTAAAATATTAACACTGAATAACAATGTGATGAAAATTATGATTTTTGTAAGTTAAAGGCGCAAAGGTAATGAAAGATATTTAAATACAAATTATGCTTTATAAACAAAACAAAACCATTCAACCTAGTTATATTTAGGATCAAAATTATAAAGAAGTTTTATTTAAGTTAGTATACCCAACACCCATACATGATATAATATACTTTTCAGTAGAACCCCTAGATTCTTCCGTTTCACATCGTAAAGGATCAATTTTATACATAATATTAAAAAAGTCTTTCATATGACGCAAAAATTGTACAGTGTATGGTGTTAGACAACCTAGCATAATTTTGGAAACGTCCATTTGACCAAGAGCCATATAAACTAATGCTAAGCTTTGATGTCGCGAGTCGACGCATCCTCCGGCATAAACTTCTTGTAGCAAATCAAAAGCAGCAGCTTTTCCAAGATCTTCTGGTGTAACAGCATCTTCTTTTCCTTTCTCGTTTGAACAAGCATCGACACATAGCATTACACCAGTTGTTGATTCAACCATTAATGAAATTCCAAATCCAGGAGAATTACCTGAATGAATACCTTTAGCGTGATCAGTGTATATGTAAATATCAGGTAGAAACTTATTAAGGACACTGCGAGATGAATCGACTAAACGATTGACAAAAGCAGGTGCCACTTTCATACAGTACGCAGTACCTCGTATTCGTTTAAATTTTCCTTGATCAACAAAAAGGAGCGGTTGCAATTTTCGACGAACAGGGCATTTAAACTGAATTTCTCCTCCACCTTCTGGCTTTGCACCGCGTTTTCGGATATTTAACTCCAAACCTTCGTCTAAGCCAAACTTTTTCATAAGCGCTAATGTAACAAATTTTATATTGTCCACTGAAATATCATTTTTGTCGTTGGTGACACCCTTTAAAATTATGTTTAGAGGGTTTTTGCAAAATGGAGCTAATGGCAGGATTCCTTCTAAAAAATAACCAATGGAACGTTCGACACTACATTCATGATCAAAATCTCCCCCAATAAGTAGTCCGGGAATGTATAAAATACTGGTACCGCTTTCACTCACTTCAATTTTTGACCCATTTGTCAGTTTATCAAGAAGTCGCAAAAAACTTGCTTCAAACTCTTTAATACCAGGTTCATCCGAATTTACTCGAATATCGGTTATACGGACAGCTATACCAGATAAAGTAGCTAATGTTAAACGTTGCCTAAAAAAATTGCAACCTTGGTATGATTTCACAGAGGACAAAACTGTTTTTGTTTTTGTCATGATAAAAAAACTAAAAAAAATATTTGGAAAACTTATATATATATATATATATATATATGTATATATATATATATATATATATATATATATATATATATATATATATATATATATATATATATATATATATATATTTACACACACATAAATTTAATTGATATCATAAATAATAATATAAATTTAATATGATAGATATGCATAAATATGTGTGTGCGTGTATACACACACACACACATAGATATATATATGTATATATATATTTAAAAATTATATATATATATATATATATATATATATATATATATATATATATATATATTTACACACACATAAATTTAATTGATATCATAAATAATAATATAAATTTAATATGATAGATATGCATAAATATGTGTGTGCGTGTATACACACACACACACACATAGATATATATATGTATATATATATATATATATATATATATATATATATATATATATATATATATATACACACACACATATATACATTCATCAGTGCCTTGGCTAGTAGGTCGCCCCCCCCCTTAAAACCTGCCATTAGGACCCCAAAATCTTAAAAATTTTTCCACTAGGAATCATTAAAAAAATAAAAAGCTCCCTAACTTTCTAAATGGGCCCCCTAAAATTGCTGCCCCTCCCCTTATTGGTGTGTGTGGGGGAGCCTAGCCACGGCCCTGGCATTCATACATAAATACGAACTCAAACACACGAACGCAAAAACTTTTTTAAAAACAAATGTAAATTTTAGCATACACGTCCCTAATAGAACAATGCTCAACTTGCTGCGAATTCAGTAAGAAAAAAAAATTGATATATATAAAAAAGCCAAACAAATTGCTTTATTCAAATGTTGCTTCATTATTTAGAGATAAAAAAAAATGTAGAATGATTAAGAAATTATGTAAAAATTTTGTTTAATTCTTAAATAAAAATCTAAACAAATGATAAAAGTTTATCAAAAATTTTAGTTAAAAGCTATATTATATTGTAACTATTAAAACTTTTTATTTTTGCTTTTTATCGAACTTTAATAGCTTAAATATTCAAAACTGTATTAAAAAAACAACATAAAAATATAATTTTAAAATAAACTTAAAGTTTAAGGTAAATGACATTATTACGATTTGTAATAACAAAGCAAAAATATTTATAAAAAATTAAATTTAAACAAATAAATTGTCAGTAATAACTCTCTTAATTACTTTGTTTTGAAATAATTATTTTCAGTTAAGTCAAATATTATCAGTATTAGCAAATTCCAAACAGGAGATATTTAATTTTCTTATTTTAATTTATTCATCTCATCATTAAGATCTACTGGTTTAAATACACCATACTCTGTTATGATTCCCCCCGTAATAAGCTCTGCTGGAGTGATATCAAAAGCGGGATTCCAACAATTTACACCTTCGGCGGCTATTCTTTTACCCTGGAAATGTGTAATTTCTTCAGTGTTTCGCTCTTCGATCAATATACTTTGCCCATCTTTAGCGTTTCTACAAATTGACGTCGTTGGCGCAGCAACATAAAAGGGTATATTAAAAAACTTGGCTAGAATTGCGATCTGATAGGTACCAATTTTATTGGCAGTATCACCATTAATTGCAATGCGGTCGGCTCCAACTACAACTGCAGAAATATTTTTTTGTTTCATTGCAAAAGCAACTGCACTATCAACAATCAGTGTGGCATCAATATTGTCATGGCTTAACTCGAAAGCTGTTAGACGCGAACCTTGATTAAAAGGCCTTGTCTCAGTACAAACCACATGTTTTAAAACTTTTTTTTTATGCAGTGAACGAACTACACCTAATGCAGTTCCATAACCCGCGGTAGCCAGTGAGCCTGTGTTGCAATGTGTCAAAACAACAAGTTCAGATAATCCAACATTATCACAAATGTGTTTTGCACCATGATCACCAATTGCTATATTGCATTTGACGTCATCTTCTTTTAAATTTTCTATGAAAGCAACCACATTTTCAACAATATCACTGACAGAAAGAAAATTTACATAAAGAGAATCGGTAAATCGTTTTATATCACTTGCTGCTCTAAAAATATTTACAGCTGTAGGGCGAGCTTTGACTAAAGTATCTAAGCTATTATGCACAAAATCTTTAACATCTGCAGTACTTTCAAAATGTTTACCCCAAATTTCAACAGCCAATGATAATGCTGCAACAATAGCTATAGCAGGAGCACCTAAAAAATGTTAAAAAAAGGATAAAAATATCTTTTAATTTAGCAAAAGATTAAAAGTTATTTTAATTTTTTTCCTTCTGCAACATTTCGGAATCCAAAAATTTGCAAAAGACTTATTAGAATTCTTTTATTAGAGTTCGGACTGTTACGAGGAACCCTACCTTTTATAAAGAAAAAATGAATAAAATAATACCAATTAAAATAATTTTTTTTTTTCAATGTAAGTAGGGTAGAGCAGGGCATATCGTGACAGCGGGGCATAACGGGACAAATATGCCTGAAGCCTTATATCTCAGCTAAAAATAATTTTTTTTTCAAAATTATTTCGATAAAACATGTTAAATTATTGTAAAAAAAAAAATCAATTTTAGAAGTACCGAAATGCATTAAAAGTACCAAAATGCATCAGTAAGTTTGTGAAAAACAAAATTTGCGTATTTTCTTAAGCGATACAACGACAAAAGATTTATCTTAAGTTATTGCTAATTTGCTTTATTTATGAAAAGTTTTTTCATACTTTTTAGACAGTATTTTTTATCCTCTTTTAGAATCTGGTTTTAAAAAAATATATGAAATTGAACTTTTTGAATAGTTTTAGTTTTAGTAAAATGACTTTTGTGGGGCAGATCAGGACAACAAGTTATCTATATAATTGACTATATCACTACCATTTTGTTTACTGTTTGATGACTTTATTTTTATTATAAAATATTATTTTCATTATTTGTAATAAATTTAAAGTAATTGTTATTTTCTAACTTAACTTTATTTTTAGTATTTAATGTAAAAAAAAAGGTTAAAAATTATATTAGAAAAACCAATCGTCTAAAATGGGATGAAAATTCTATGAAAAATGCACTTTTAGCTGTGAGCCAAAAAGATCTCAGTATAAGAAAAGCTGCTGATACATATCTGCTAGTATCTAAGTCTGCTTTAATTGACGTATTGCCAATAAACCAGCTGATTTAGATATAAATAGTAGCTCATCATACTTTTTTTTTTTACAAACTAAGAGCGTTGGTTTTTTGTTACAAACTAAGAGCGAGGAGTCACAACTACAGTTCTCATTGCAATGAGTGCAACTGGTTTGTATGCACCTCCAATGTTAGTTTTTAAATGCAAACATATGAAAAATTCTTTATTAAACAATACACCACCTGGAACCATTGATGGATGTTCTGATAATGTTTGGATAACAACAGAACTGTTTCAATTATTTATTCAACATCTGGTTAAGTATATCGGATGCAGTAACTCCAACAAGGCTTTGCAAATATTAAATGGACATAAAAGCCATACAAAGAATTTGATGCTAATTGATTTTGCATGTGACAATGGTTTATTTATTTTATCAATCCCTCCCCATACAACACATAAACTACAACCTCTGGATCTAAGTTTTTTTAAACCATTTAAATCTGCATTTGATGCAGCTTGTTCATTATGAATGCGCAATCATCAAGGTAGAAGAATAACCACAGATAACTTATGGAAATTATTTTGTGATGCCTATATGAAAACTGCAACTCCTTCTATTGCAGCTGCAGGTTTTAAGAATGCAGGTATTTGGCCTTTAAATGCTAATGTTATTCCTGAGAGTGAACTTATTACATGCAATAATGAACTATTTATGAGATCAAATTTAACTTTAGGAAGTCGTAGTAATGTTGCTAATCAAAGTTGTTGCCAATTAATTTCAGGATTTTATTTATGTGATTTGTGTGACCTATAACTATATTTTTTAGATCTTAATTTTGTGATCTTACTTTATTATTATTGACTAGTTAATAATATATATCAGTTTTTTCCTACTTTGTTTTTAGATCTTTATTTGAAGTTAGTTTGTTTAAAAGCATTTCATAATAAAACACCAAAAATTTCCTATTTTTAGTTGTTACTGTTTTTTGGGATGTACTGGCGTAGGGGCATGTAGTTCATATGGGTATGTTTTTTTTATCTAAGAAAATATGCCAGGTTTAAATAATAAAAAACTTTTATTTTACTTTTTTAAAGCAAAACTTTTTTAAAATGAATAACTGTTGCATTTTAACTGTCCTGTTTTGCCCCACCCTTTTGCAAAATATGAAAAATTTGCAGCTTATGAGTTTTATTTTTGTTGTTGTCGTAGATCATTTAAATTAAAAAAATTTTTGTTTTTTTTTATTTTCTTATATCAATGAATTTTAGGAAATTTATAAAAAACAGTGTTAACTATGATTAGTTTATCCGCAGCTAACATTTGTTTCTCAAGTCCCTATATACCCTACTCTACCCTAAGTTTTTAGAAAAATTATTTTTAATACATGAAATATTCAGGGTCAGTTATTCACATTTTTATTAAACTTTTTTATTAAAAGGGGAAATCTTCCTTCTAAAGAATTTTATAAGAATTTTAAATCTACCACAAAAAAATTAAAATAATAATTATAATAAAATATGAAACGATTCAAAATGTTTTGCTCAGAAAATAATTTTTTTTCATAAAAATATCTTGATAAAAGTTAACTGATAAAAGTTTGATATTTATCATAATAACTTAGAAAAAACTCCTTGAAAAATTTTGTTTAAAAATTTAATAAAATAAACTCTTAAAGTGAATTTAATTTTGTTGATTTTTGATAGATGCAGGGGCAAAGCCCAGATTTTTTGGTGCTTGAGTTAAATAACTTTTAGGTAAGTTCTTAACTCTAAACTTTTTTATGCTAATTAAGAATGCTTTCCTGAAAATTGCGTTGATTAGAGCCTGGGAACAAAAATACATTAAATAGTAGGCATCACCCGCCCACACGAGAGGGGAAAATGATTTTACCACCTAATTTAGGATATTAGAATTTATATTTAGAAAAACCCATTCCCCCACATTTGGGCGAGTGATGCCTACTTTTTTGGTTTTTTTTAGTTCCCAGACTCTAATCAGCGCAATTTTTGGCAAATCATCCTGACTAAATGACTAATGATAAAAGTATGAAAATACAAAAGTTTAGAACTTACCTGGAGGTTATTTAACTCAAATACCGAAAAATCCTGGATCCGCCCCTGGGATGGTTAGACAAATCTAAGAAAAATTTAATTTTCATGCTTCAGATGGACTTTCACTTTGGACAAATCTAAGAAAAAGTAAATTAATTTCTGACTTTATTTTATCCAATCTTTATGATTAACTTTGCAGTATATGATTTTTTCACAGCATTTTTCTTTAATTGTAATAAGAAAATAAAAAACTTTTCAGACATGGACATTCTGGAAACATGCAAAGAAGTTGGTGTTACATATCAAAGTAATTATAAATCTTTTTTCTGTAGGTATGGTATATTTTTCATAGGGCAAAGTCCATTAATAAACAAATGATCACTGTAGCAAAAACACACTGTCTATAATTTTCTCTTAACACCCATTTGAAAATACTTTTAATGCTATCAAATTCAGCATTAAAACTTTATTAAAAAATTAAAAGGGCACAAGAGGCAAGCATAGTAAGATTAGGCTGGCTAGGATGGCTGCAACTAATGTTAAAGGAAAAAGACTTGTAATTAAAATGTTTGTAATTAAAAATCGAAGTCTCCTAGATTTTTTAAAGGTGGGTAAAATATCCTTTGTTGCTATTAATCCCAATCAAAAAATTGGATGTTGCCAAAATTATTCAAGGAGTAAATTAAAAAATATGACCTAATGTTTAACTTTTTAGAAAATAAATATTGCTTTATTTATAGACATTTGCTCTGATAATACAATCATGATCAACTAACCTATATATAAAGAAAATATTCGATCTTTTAAAGCCAAATATTGCTAACTCACAATGAAAAAGCAGATTCTTGCATTGGAAAAGAGAACACGATGCTCAAGTTTTCTATTTTAACAGCTATGTTTATGCTGAAAAAAGCATGAATTTGCATTTCATACCAAACCTTTATAAATTGTTTTAAGAAATCAGGAATATCATTAAAAGCAGTGGAAAAGCATATAAATGACAATAACTATAGTTGGCAAATTGCAAATATTGAGGACTTTTTTTTTTAGGTGTCTCTAAATGGCAAAAAAATAAAAGATACACCCCCCAATGGAAGACCACTTCGGGATGGTCCTGTATATATATTTAAACTTCAGAAGGTATAAAAATTTATAAAAAAGGTAATATATTTTCAAAAAAAAAAAAAACAGCCATTATAAATTTATATATATATATATATATATACATACATATATATATATATATATATATATATATATATATATATATATATATATATATATATATATATATTATATATATATATATATATATATATATATATATATATATATATATATATATATATATATATATATATATATATATATATACACACACACACACATACACATGTCCAAATGCACATAAAACTCACAATTTAAAGGTGAAAAAATCCCATTTTCCAAATAAAGTTCGACAAATTAAAGTTTGATTATTCTAAAAATTATTGAAAATTAATTATTATTAAAAACTAATAATAAAAAAAAAAAAAGAAATTTTTATTTAATTTTTATTTAATTATTGTGTAAAACTAGAAATAAAAATTAACTTTTTTTGTATAATTACATGATTACATAACTGCGAAAATATCTCTTGGAATAAACTACTTGAGAATTGGGATTTTCCAAGCAATTTTAAGGATTTTCTCGGCAACTTGCTTTTAAAATTCATTTCGCAAAATTTGCAAATAATTCTTTGCAATGCATTTCAACAACAGCAAAAATTTATATGAAAAAGTTAGCAAGAAATAAAGTAAAATCTGAAAAAAAACAAAAAAACAAATTTGTTTGGTTTAACATCAGCAAAAGCTATTTCTTAACAAGTTTTGCCTTTTTTGGCCAAAAAAAATAAATAACTTATTAAGTTTTACTGCAAACTCTACTTTAAGTAATACATGTGCTTCGTCAACAAAAATATTGTAAAGTCATTTACTTTTCGAAGTCAGATACTTTCGAAATTTTGATCAATTAAAAGTTAAATGCAAAAA